CAAATGGAAATTGTTAAATAAATAAATGAATTAATAAATTCATGATCACAATCTCAAATCGTCTTTTTTCTTTGAAACATATATCAAAAAGAAAATGGCCTGAAATTGTTTAATCACTCCAATTTATATAAATTAAATTATGTAAATAAATAAATATACATTTCATTTATTTACATAATTTGTATTTATTTATTTATTGTCAATTATTTATTTATTTATGAAACAATTTCAGACCATTTTCCATTTGTTGTTTCTCAGAAAAAAAATATGTATTTATTTTCTTAGAAACATCAAATGGAAATGGTCTGAAATTGTTCAATAAATAAATAAATACTAATGATAATCTCAGATTGTACCTTTTTAGAGTGAACATCAAATGGAACATGACCTAAAATGATTAATGACAAAAAGAAATTTAAAAAAATGCATGATCGTAATAATCACAAATTGTCCCAATTTTTAAATAACATATATCAAATGAAAAATGAATCGAATCTGTGAAATAAATAAATAAATAAACAGGAAAACTATCTGGACATAAATAAACTAAATGTATAAATATTCATGACTATCTCAGACAGTACGTTTTGTTATGGTGTAAAAAATATATAAAATTAAATTAAATAAAAATACTCATGATAATCTCAGATGATCCCTTTTATACAGCATACATAAGATGGAAAGTAGGTGAACATACTAAGTAGTGGCATCCATATCCCTCCTGTATTACCAAACAATAAAAACATTCCTTTCTGAGTTGGCAGACATTTGGGAGTCATTATTCAATTGAAGGACACTGTCTCTGTCACATGCTTCAGTTTACTCACTGACATGCATGAAGCCAGCCTCAGTGCAAATACATACTGTATGTCATGATACAATAAGGAATGACAAATTATTTTTCATACTATGCACCACAGAAATCATTCAGGTTATGCAGAACACACACCTGGATCCGTCAGTGCAGTGAAGGGTATCATTAAAACGACATGCCCTCTGTGCCTCCAGACAAGACCGGTGACAGACCCAACATTACCTCAACAAGTCCACACTACGAATGTGCTGTGCTCTTTAGCTGTTTGTCACTAAAGTAGGATTGAGGGCAAAGCTGAGCATTTGATCAGCTGGGGCCGACAGCTATGTAGACCACAGGGGCATTCCTGAGTCCCCTGGGTTGAGCCTGGGACAGATGGGGCCGGTTTGGGACTGAATCCAGCCCACTTCCTGGGCTGAAGCTCTGGGGGTATCTTTCGAGGATTTCCCAGATAATCCCTTCGGCAAGGTGTCCAGTCTCAGGCGAGTCCCATCAATAATTCACAATCCCCAGCCTACCTGTGTGAAGCTCCTCTGAGCAGAAGGGCGCTAACCTTTAATTCCCCATCCACATGGCCAGCAGGGCCCACTTGTGTGGCTAGAGAGACCGCTTTAATGGAATCCTCCAGCATGACGTAAAGCAGAGGTGATAAGCAGATACGCTGTCCTGTGATTATTGGGTCCCATTATTGAGCCCTCTATCTAGCTGATTGCTATCTGGGAGCCACGGATAAAATCCTCCAATACTCTTCTGATAGAGGCCATAGAGTCAAACAAATATACTTCACAAAGTCAATGAATCAAATCAAATGTTGGATTTTTATTAGTGTGTATCTAACATGCTTTTAAATATATCAGTATGCAACATTCAAAAGTTTGGGGTTGGTAAAATGTCAATGTTTTTTAATTTAGTTTCTTATGCTGACCAAGTCTGCATTTCTATAATCAAAAATTCAGTAAAAATTTTAGACGCTTATAGGCTATGCTCGTGCCCAGTCCATGCAATGAACGCACGTTATTGAATTATGTTTTTTTTTTCTTTTAGAACATTAAAACTGCTCAGGTAATTTCAGTGGTAGGCTATGATACATGTTCGTGTATTAAACTCCTCATAACTCACAAACTCACAAATATTTCTGCCTGTTTTCGCTCGTTGTCAGCCTCTGCTTTTCTGCAACAGACTGAAGCCTCCGTGTGAATTCAGCGCCTTGCATTCAGCTAATAAAAGAAAAATGCTGCAATTTTCTGGAGTTGTTTTATGATTGTTTGGGCAGTCTCAAGCTATAGCTTAAACTTCTCAAAATATAGTCCGCTTCAGATTAGTTTTAATAAATTCTAATTCTGATTGGGTGGGCAAGACAGTAATTTGGGTGGGCTCAGCTATTATTATTATTATTGTTATACTTTATTCTCAAATTAATAATGTTGACAACATCAGCATTGCGTGACTATGAGTATAGTGTGTATTAGCGTGTAGATTTAAATTGCTGTACAGTCATTGTCATACCATTCGAATTTCATATTAAGAAATTATTTTAACCCAAAAAGAAAATTATGCTCCCTTCGAACTGGTTGTCTTTAAAATACAAATCCTGTGAAATCCCAGGCTATCTGTAATCAGAAACACATTTAAAACTGGAATATAATTTAATTTCACTCACTTGTGTTTCATAAACACATAATCCTTTCTGTATTATAATCCGCCATAAAAATGATACATTTAATTATTCCAGCTGCTATGAGAAAAAGCTATAAACGATCCGCCACCTGCAGGATCCTCACATGTGATAGCTTAGTAGCCGGGACAACTTCTTTATGTTTACAGACGTGATGTAATGACACAGCGGCATGCTCGAATTTCCCATGAAAACTTACCCATATCATTCAAATTAGAAAACATTATTATAAGCTAACAATTGTGAATCAGGCTAAAGTAAGGCAATAGTTTTGAACACTAGCTGGTTATGTACTTGCTCAAATATTGATTTTGGATCATTTTTAACCAAAAAAAGTTACGGACTGCAGCTTTAAGCATAAAATGTGTTTTAATGTCACTATTGATGAATATTGTATGATCTTTGAATAATATCGGTCTTTAAATGCACAATATTTAAAATATACTTGCAATAGTTCCACTTTAGCACAATCAAGTAAACTTCAGTACATCTTCAGTTGGACTTCAGCACTAATTCAACACAATAAAAGTGCATTAAGCACAAAATAAGTAGGCTATACCAGTTTATTATGCCAAAAGTACAATTGCAGGGTATTTTTATTAACTACATACAGAAATATGTAAATTAATTTGTAGTATATTTAGCATGAAATAAATGCATTTCAAATACATTATAGTATATTAATTTTTCACTAGGGCACAAAGTTTAAAAGAACATTAATAAATCTTTTGTGATATTATAAATGCCTTTCTGCCTTTTGATCAATTCAATGCATCCTTGGTTAAGAAAAGTATTCATTTCTTTAAAACAACAACAACATGGATTTGATTCTAAAAAAATCTAATTAAATGCATTCAAAAGAGATGTCTATCTAAATATACAATTAAAATCAATTAGATTTGAACATGCTAAAACTGATCCAACTAATTGTCTTACGACAATGTAGGTTCTGCCCATCTGTGCAAAACTCTCCGCCACAACGCTAGGGTCTTCTGGGTGGTTGCCAGGGCTTTAGTCGTGGTTGCTAAGGATGTTCTGACTGGCTTGTAGCATGTTGCTTTGCAGTTGCTAAGGTGTTCCAAGTGGTTGCTAGGTGGTTACTTACTGACCCAACACATGAGAGACCACCTCAAAGACACTCCTTCAAAGATCCTTTATTCAGTGTGAATCTAAGGGCTTTTTTTCCACCCGTTTTATAGTCCGCCAGGTGAAAATCGTAAATCTGATCACTTAGTCCAACTCTGCTGAACAAGCCACACTATTTGAGGCATCACTCAAATGCCTAACCATAAAAATGAGGAATAATATAACAGGAACTGTTGCTTACCGAGCACCACTAAATGCCAATTGTGGTCACCATGAACTACAGTATCAGCAGCAATAGTATAATTTACTAGTGTTTTGGACAACACATACACTCACTTTAGCAAGGGTCTTAACCGCAGTAAGAGCATTAAATAACCTCATCTCTGGCAGAATAGCCTTGAGCAGCAGTGGCTGCCTCACAGTTTAAGGCTGAGTGACCAACATTTGCACTGTGTAGAGTCAGGACATTTACCGTATCAAAGTACACACACACATAGGGGATCCTACCTCCACCCACAATTACACACACACACACAAATGCACATCGACCTCCACACCACACTCTCTCCGCGAACAAATGTCTTCGCTGTCAATTGCGGCCAGGTCTGCCGTAATTGAAAAGAACAGCCACGGGTCAGCCCACAGACACGGCGCACCAAGCCAGGAGCCTGTCACTGACAGCCAGCCATCAATACCAATGACTGTTCCTTGAGGAGCAGATGACATCCACGACACCACCCATGCAACACCCCGGCGCACACATACAAACGCTTGCCTCCCGCCCCCTCACTGTCCTTCCTCCGCTACTCGCGTCTCTGATTCCTACCCCAGTTTGTCACCACACTAACTCCACTCACCGGGAAGCCTGTCATCTCTTCGGAGATGCACGTGCCATCGGCAAATGCATGCATACACGCTCGTACTCACTTACGCTCATGCATGCATGCCAAACGAGGGGGATCAAACTTTTTTGAGAGTGGAACAGTGGCCACTTAGAGACCTCTGCCTCCCTTCCCTGGCACACACTTTTCTCAGAGCGTGTCAACCCAGAAAAAACACTTTTCCCGTTTAAAAAACTAAATCTTACTAAACGACCTATATAAAATCCTACACATACTTTGTGAACTCTGTTGAGACACTTCAAACCACTTTATGGAACATTTTATTGTATATAGCACTTATTATAGATTGAAAACTGAAAAAAAAACAATGACATCACGCTTATATGTCACATCTTTAGCCACCTGCATTGTGCAATTGTTAAAGAAGGCTGGACAGCATCAGACTTGTCGTTTGGCGTAAGACTACAGTGACAGCTGAACAAGATGCACAGAGCAGAGACAAACAAGCAAGACAGAGGCATTCAAAGAAGAAAAGGAAAAAGAACAGAGAGAAAAAGCAAAGGAGAAGAAAATATACACAGACCTGACCAGGAGCTGCAGAGCGACAGAAACTGTCTTCCTTATACAGTCCTCTCAGTCTCTCTCTCTCTCTCTCTGTGTGTGTGTGTGTGTGTGTGTGTGTGTGTGACTCCCTCCCCTCTCAGCTCCTCTCAGCTGCTCAGGGCAGTTCTCAGGAAATGAATGGGAGCTCACAGAGAACTGTTGTACTTGCAAATGACTTACCACGGTCACATGATCCGCTAAATGTAGGGTGGGCCGGTGGGTGGAGGCTTCATAAGCAAGAGAAGACAATATACGCTAAGCTTTAACAGCATGCATCGAATTACACGGGGCCCCTCGTGGGAGGTTTCCGACATGTCTCTGAGCCCAGGCAGCGGAGAAACGCTAGAGTACCTCCCCGTTTAAAGGGGAAGAGAGAAAAAGAGAGAGAGATGGGGAGATGGAGGGAGAGAAAGTAGGTATATTTCCTCACATTATTATTATCAAAACTGTCACGCTGTATTACAGTCTTACATTTAAAACCTCACTTGCAGTTTTCTTTTTGGCGATTAAGAGCAAAAATTTGATTTTGATGTACTGTAATATTCATCCCAAATTGAAAACATCAAAATTTGAGTTTATTATCCTACAGTAATTATCTGTAGACATTTAACATACAAAGAAATACCGTGAAATATTTTGTGTCTGTATTAAGCGGTTTCAGTAAGAAACCATCTGCTGAGAAAGTAAATATAAAAATATAAATCCCAGCCACACGCAGCTCTTAATTGGCTCAATTTCTGTTAGTCATCACACACTGCTCTCCTTCAGATTACGAATGCCTCTCTACTGAAATTCAACAGAAGCCATTTATTGCTGTTCATGCAAGCATGCATAAGGGAATGTTGTGAAAGCTCAACCATGGTTTGTTGAAGAGGCAGCTACGGTTTTCAAGATGCATATTCGCTCTTCTGGGAATCCTAATTAATGTATAGGAAACGTAGCTAATTTGCATCTCTGATAGACTTTGTGTTCTGCACACACGCATATTGATGGGGTGGATAGTGATTTAAAGAATACTGGCCATCTTAGACTTACTTAACCCAATCCCGCCTTATTTATGTTGCAATACAGCTGGACAGATTTATTTAATGTTGCAAGAAAATCAAGTATTTCAAATTAACTGTATGCAATGGAGACTTAAATTTGGAACCCTCGCAGCCTTTAATAAGACAATTAAAGGCTGTGCAGAGGCATCCTTAACAGTCCATTTCCTATAGATAGTGATTTTAAATACTGAGGTGTAACATCAAATATTTTGGCACTTGAGACATGCAGATGAAATTTCTCAGATCTAAAAAGTAATGTAATATTGATTCCTGCAAAGGAGAACCCATGTCCGCTGTAACTGTGTGATAATTATACGACATATCAATACAAGATCATCATTGTGAATTACACGGGAGAAAACAAAGACTTGTATTCTTGTGTCTGACAAAATGGCCATTGAAATACCGCTCTGCTGATGCTTTTAATGCTGATTAGCCCTGATGCTTCTTTATGAAATGCTATACCACCCAGCTGCAGCCTCTGACAAGAGTGGCAATTTCCCCAGCAATAATGACATCGAGGAAGCAGTCCCGCTCTGCCCGCACACCCAGCCCAGCCTGGCACACAAAGGGTCCTGGCATGTCTTGTAAAGGGCTGAACTGGAATCAGGCGTTCCAGTGGGAGGGTGAGCCGTGTATGGAACTCTGCCAGGGAACATGGCCCCATCTTAGCTCCCCTGCAAAGAGGAGAGAGAGAAAGGAAGACAGAAAAAGAGTGAACACCCTTGATTACAGCTGTGGCACGGAAAGGACCCAAGGTGATTAGGTGGGCTCCAATGTCCGTGTTTACCATGGTTAACTACACAGCAGGCAAACAGTTGGTGTAAGGTGATAAGATTAACCAAACCCATGTAGGCCAGTATATACACATTTACACTTCAACCATAAATTACATGCTAACAAAGAATCCGGTTCCATCTGCCTGGTCCAAAGTATAGACGTGACTGTCATCCCTCCAGCAATCCTAATTTATTTCAGCATTAGAAAGGACATGTCTACGGGGTCCATTTTAAAAGGATAGTTTGTCAATATATTAATTCTTATGATGCTCAAACCTGATCGACTTTCTCTCTTGTGTGAAACACAAAAGGAGATGTTTAGCAGACTATCCAAGCTGCTCTTTTCTATCCAATGGACGTGAATGGTAACCATGACTGCCCCTGGTCCACATGGCTTAAAAATTCAGTTTTACACATTAAATAATATGATTAAAATGACATGAGAGATTTTGTTTTGTATTTTGGTAAACCTTTTAACATTTAGACAGCTTTGACTGTGACAGTTTGATAAGAAAAACTTACAAACTGATCAAAACAATAACTCCAATGTCCTAGTGTGAAGAACTAGCGTTTGATGAGGGCAATGGTGGGCCATCAACAAACAAAGTACTTAGCGATCTACGGCAGAGCATGGAAACTGGGAAATGTGTTGATGGCGCATTAGCCATACAGCTTTCCCGGCTGCATAAGAGACCCGGTCACTGCACCACAAATGCGTCTCCCGCTGGGTAACTCACCGCTGTCTGTGAGCCTGCCCTGCACGTTCTGCACAGAACAAGAAAAGGGATCACTTCACAGCATTTCACTGTCAAATTTGACTGGAATATAAATATCACGACATTGAGCACGTCCTTTACAGCTGTAATTGAGAACTGTCACTACGATAATAGATTTGTGTTCTGACTAAGAGTCTATTTATTGTTCAATTTCAAATTAAATCAATCACAAAGAGATTCAAAGTGAAATTAAATTATATGTCTGGATTAGAAATCAAAGGTAGGTTCAGCCCCTGCAGTAGTTCAAGTTCAAGTTCATTTTATTTGTAGAGCACATATACAACAGCCACCAGGCTGACCAAAGTGCTTTCCAGAAGAGCAACAATTTTACCACATACACAGAGAACAAACCAGATGAAAATGTAAAACCGCACGTTTAAAAATGACCATATCACAGTAGTCAATACACTAAGGAAAACAAATAAGTTTTTAGCAAGGACTTAAAAACAGACAAAGAAGGGGCCATTCTAATCTCTAAAGGTAGGGTATTCCAGAGTCGTGGCCCTGCCACTGCAAATGCACGCTCCCCTCTACGCTTAAGCCTAACGTGAGGGACCACCAACAAGGCCTGGTCACAGGATCGTAGGCTTCTAGACGGAGTATAGAAGTAAAGAAGGTCAGATAGATAGACAGGAGCTTGGTTATGTAGTGATTTATATACAAAGAGGAGAATTTTAAAGTCTATTCTCTGACAAACCGGCAACCAGTGTAGAGATCTAAGAATTGGAGTGATGTGTTCATGTTTACGACACTTTAAAAGAAGTCTGGCAGCAGCATTTTGGACAAGCTGAAGACACGCAATTTGAGATTTAGATATACCGCAATATAAAGAATTGTAGTAATCTAGACGAGACGTAACGAACGCATGAACAGTAAATTTAGAAGCTAATTGAAAATTATATTCCTGAAAGGTTATTATATTCTTTGAATTTTAATACGATCAAACTGCAATGATGCATGGACATGGCTCTTTCCCAGTTTTAGACTCTGAATCCACTTACAAACAAGTAGCATGATATTATCAAACAAATAAAAAAATTGCTAATTGTACAGTACCATCATACCATATTATCAACAAATTATTTTAATTCATATAAGAAGATATTCCTAAATGAATCATGAGAAAATTGGCAAAATTATATTTTAATGTAAGATTCATCATCTGTTCCATGTTAAACATAAGAGGAAGTTAATTGAGAATAAGCAGTTTCTAGTTGAATACAAATGAAAGAATCTGGTTTGCTTCAGTTATTAAAACAATATGTGCATTTTGTGGGTGAGGTCATGCTCAGAGGTCCACAGCTCAAATCATCCAGAAGATCTGAGAAAGACAAGTCTGTTGTGGCAGGGTGTTCCTCAATGTTGTCTGGTCATTTCATTTGTATAGGCTCTGATCTCTTAAGTGTGATAAACAGTTTGCTACAATTCTGGGAGAAACCTTGTGTTTTCTCAATGGCATGCCAGTTCAAATCAAGTTTAGTCTCAAATGTTTGAACATTCCTCTTTTTAGGCTCTATAACAGAAATACATATACATACATTTGAAATGATTTTGAAATAGATGAGGCCAGCATGATTATTATTATTGCTCACTGTTTGGGTAATGGATCTGTTTTAAAATAAAGTGAATAATGCAAATGTAAATGATGCTTCAAATGAAGTAGTGTTTAAAGGAGAGGTGTGCAGCTTCTTTTCAAAGTGATCGGACTGATGATTTTAGCCTGTCAGAGGATAATCCAAGCGAAAAATCATGCATGCTTACACTGAAGGGGGGAGCTGAGCCATATCTAGGGACCAGAAAATCATAGAGACTTGTGCCTTTTTTTGACTTGGTCCAGTTAGCAACCTCCCAGAACAGCCTAGCAACCACTCATGACACCTTAGCAACCGTATAGCAATGGCCTGGCAACCACTCACAACACCCTAGCACATTTTTTTTTTTTCAGAAAATCCAGACATTCAGTTCTTTCAAATGTTATGGAAGGTTTACTGTGAAATTTCCACCCGTTTTCAAAAGCCAAAAAAGGACCACAGAGCACAGAAGGACTGTAAAAACGAGATCAGGGACTTGGGGTCAATGGTTGTATTTCTTTAACTAGTATAAAGATGCCATTAAATAAACATTTGCGTGAAGTCTGTGCTGAACCAGTCTTTTTCTGGCTAACAAGTGTATTATTCCAGTAAACGTTCTTCAGTGTGGAGTTCAGAAGCACATGACATGTGCATGCTCGGGGGCCAGGGCTCTTCAGGAGGCAGTGTGTGTGTGTGTGTGTGTGTGTGTGTGTGTGTGCGTGCGTGTGTGTGTGTGTGTGTGTGTGTGTCCACCTGCACAGACCCTGGCTGTAAAGACGGGGCTCTGGCTGGTGTGGCTGCAGGGTCTGAATCGGGTCTGCATCTATGTGCAGTGGCCAAGGTCAGCACATCACCGCAGGGCAGAAGCAGAGGCAGGGGCAGGAGCGGGGGCGGCTGCCTAAACACCACCACTACCTCTTCGGTGTCCAATAGCAACTGCATCTGCAGAAGGAAGAAGTGTGCACTCTGTGGGCAACTG